GTACTGATGCACTTTTCGATGCTCGAAGAAGGTGTTCATAATAGACAATCCGTTGTTTGCACAAAACCGTGACAACTTCATGCCGTTATTGCTGAGGTCGCTAGGGCCGTTATTTCCAATCACGCCATTCCACTTTTCAGCGTCTACTCTGACATGAGCAGTAAAATCGCTCATGAGTATGAATGACTCTGTATTCGGCACTTCGGACAGAGCACACTGCACTTCCTTAAGGAAGAAATCATATCCCGCCTCTACATTAGGTGCATAGACCTGTACCAAGGGCAACGCTTTAGCCTGTTGTAGCTTCAGTCAGAGGATTACCACCTTTCCGCTTACAGGCTTGCAATCAATGATGCTATCTGCCAAGTAGTCTGGTTCACCAGAACACCAACACCGACCTGAGCGCGAGTCGTGATATCGACGCGTGAATAGAATAGCTTCCATCCGTTGAGGTTCAGTAGTCCAGAGCCTTTGCTCTTCGTTGACGAGAATCCGACAATGTCGAGTTGGTACTTTATGGCCTCATCAACTACCTCTTGTTATTTTCGTCTGAGTGAGGATACGTTCCATTTTCCGACTGTAAGTTCCCACTGGCTGTGTTGTTTTCGTGGAGCCTTTTCTGACCTGCTTTAATGGCATCGCGCTGTCTGTCCCTTCCGTTCAGAACGGGTAGCGACTCCATTGCTGACTGGTATCTTCTTCGTCGTTGCGTCGGTCTTCAGTCGTTGTCGTGCTGCTACGCCCCCTGCTGTGAGAGGGCGATGAGGATTGTCTGGTCGCGACATTTCGCAATCTGCCTCACTTCCCCAACAGCCTGTCCGGCCTTTGGTAAGCCGGTATAATTTTCGATGAGGTCAATTCGATGAGTGGTAGGTGGCAAGCTTTTACGGAGATTTGGTCCCGGTCTCCAACCCTCCTCCTTTCTTTACGGGGTTTGGGACCGTCAAGGGCGGAGTTGTGAATTCTGCTAATTATTCCTCTCCGCTGATCTGATTTACCATCTTTCATAATTAGGATGTTGGCATGATTCATATATAAACTGCGAATCTGATCATGCGTCATGCTTTAATTAATTTGCTTTTTTCTGCTGTTAAGGTGCAGCATTCGACGACTACTCGCATTTCGTCAGAAGTTACGCAGAACTTATTTTTTGAATCCAACAAGCATTACGATATATGGTCTTCTCCTGGCAGCAGCCACAACCAAAGCTGCTTCGCGCCTCCTGCCAACTTGTTGCCACGGCCGCAGCCTCAGTTCTTTGAGCCGACACTTCAGCAGCAGCCGCATGTTGACCTGGTTGGGTCCCAGTCGGACGATGCCTTATTGAAACTGAAAGGAGCTAAGACTCTTAAGGAGTTGGAAACCGAACTCCTCCTGCAGCAATCAAATGCTTCTGAAACGCGTTCCGCCAACAGCTCCCGTAAAACTTTCTTTGAGCAAGCGGAGCGCGAACCGTTGCCCACATCAAGTTCGAGTTTTCCTGCTTCGAGCAGAGTCCTCGGTGGCACTCCGAAACCGGCTACTGCAAATAGATCAGTTGGCCAGAGCTTCCAGGGCAGTCACTTTTCCGTGCCGCCGTTAGACATGTATGCCGTGCAGGCACCTCGATTTCCTGGCGGCCAACAGTACCCTCCAATTTGTATGCCGCCGCTCCCGCCATCGCTCGTACTTCCGAACTCTCGCATGGCAACCAGTGGACGGAATATGTGGATACCTGTAATACCTCAGAATGCACCTAGTGGTATATTTTTTGAACTTTTCCTTCATTTACGCAATTTTTTTGCGCAATATTTCTTAGCTCTTTCACATAGTCGTAATTGGTTCATACCGATATTGAGAACTCGTCGTTATTAAGGCTTATGTCTAGGATGAAGCAGAACGATAATCAGTTAAAGGTGAGCTATTGGCAGCTTGAACAGAACTGCAAGGCAGTCCGATGCTTTTATGGACTACTTTAAACGGTAACATGTAACTAAATTCAAATATGCAGGAAACAATGCTGAGGCTAGGTATAATCGAACGAACAAGGTCGTTCTATCACCGGCTTCGACTGAATCGCATATCGGAATGGACGGAATTACGAATTGATTTCAACCTCTACCAACATAGAATTGCTTATTCATGTCGGCATGGAGGGATTGCCACTCTGAACTGTAGCATATGGATAATATATAACAGCTATATGCCACATATGACGATCGGATATGTCATTTTGATCAATAAAATCATTATGCGTATTTAGGGCGTTTTGAGACGTTTGAAATGGCATAATTTTGTATTGTTTTTTAGAAATTAATTGATTTCTTTTTGCAAATGCAAGATTCTTCATCGCCATGCTCTTGTCGACATTGTCTTTGCATTTGTTGTTACATGATGTCCACTGAAAATGGATCTAGCAACAACACTAAACTGAACTTTGCTTAATAAGATTTATATGCGCAATAATCCGTTTAAAGACTGGCAATGGGTAAAGACTATGTAGTGTTGCATAGTATATTTATAAGTTATATGATGTTAGATTTTCGATAATTCTGCGAAGGAGCATAAGTTCATCTAAATATTATAGCACAGAAGCGCTAATCTGTTGTTCATAAGTCCTACGTTCATCACTCGCTCTATTGATTCTAATTCTTCGGTTCCTTGAGACTGAGTGCTTATAGCGACCATGCAGTATTTGCTGCTCCTTTATGCATTCTCTACCGATCGTGGCGGAATACTGTGAATGCACTTTCTTATGTGCATTGTGCATTTGACCTGTCACTGATTCTCGTATGATCGTTGATCTGTCTTAATCTTTTAGTTCAGTTCAATCATAAGTCGATGCCAAACGTCATGTTTCCTTCGCGGTTACGATTGCTCCATCCTGCGGCGATTCGACAAGGGTAAGTTCTGATACACCATTACACCGTATATTATATAACGTCGTGGTACCGCATTTTTGTTCATTCAAGGACGACATTATTTCGTGATATATTAAGCGCAGCACGAAACGGTTTTTTTACACAACCCAGATG